TGCTGAGCGAAATAAGTCAGGCAGAGAAGGACAAATATCATATGTTTGCACGTATAGGAGGATTAGGAGGAACTTGACGGAGGAACAAGGGGGAGAAGAAGGGCGGAAATGGTGGGGGAAAGGGAGAGAGGCAAACCATGAGAGACTCTTGAATGCTGACAAAAACTGAGGACTGATGGATGTGGGGGGGAGGGGGGATGGGCATGGAGGAGGGCACTTCGGGGATGAGCACTGAGTGTTATGTAGAAACTAATTTGACAATAAACTATTTGTAAAAAAAAAAAAAAAAGAAATCCAGCACATGGAGCTAGGCAACTCTAGCAATTATTACACCTAACACATTGATATCCAAGAGAACTGAGACCAGAGAGGAGGATGGCTTGACCAGGATCAAGTTGGGAGCAGAATTGGGTCAGACTCCTTGTCAATGCTATTTAAATTCCTCAAAAAGTTGCTTCTAATCTCTTTAAGATGAACCTCCTCATTCACATTGATAAATCCAACATATAGCCTAGTACATGGTATATACTAGATGTTCCATAAATGCTTGCTTAATGAGTGAATGAAGGAGTGAGTGAGTGAGCAAATGCACAGGTAAAGGAGTAGTGAGTGGGGGATGAGAGTTCATTTGGCTCAGAGCACAGTGAATGAAGGAAGGAAGAGTAGGTTTTTTGACATTCAAGACTCAAGTCAAGCAGAAATGTGAATAGATGGGCTGTTGGTCTAGTAATTGCAGGAGCCAGAAGGATTCTTGATCTCACTCTTAAGCAAGGAGACACATGTCAGGATGGAGGGAGAGTCGTCTGCAGCCCTGAATTGCTGAACTGTTGCCGAGCGCTGATTCACCTGTTCTTGCTAAACAGGTTCCCACTACACTGAAGCCATGAGGATCCACAGCCTCACCCTGCTCTTATTCCTTCTTCTGGCTGCTCAGGTGTCATTGGTGAAGAGCAAAAAGGAAGCAAAGAATAGACGTGTCAGCAAAGGCACCACAGATAAATTGCATACTCTGGGAGAGACCCAGATTAAGCCACCCAAGCACCTGACCGAAGGCAAATTTGTCACTCAAGACCATGCCAAGTGCAGATGGGTAGCAACTGAGCAAGAAAAAGGCATAGCCCTGAAAGTCGAGTGCACCCGACGAGACAACAAGTTTTCGTGTGTCTTTAAGGGCAATCCAACTTCCTGCCTAGAGTCAAACAAGAATGTCTATTGGAAACAAATTGTCAGGAACCTGCGCTCTCAGAAGGTCCTCTGTGGGGATGCCAAAACCATCCTGAAAACTAGAGTGTGCAGAAAGAAGTTTCCAGAATCCAATCTCAAGCTGGTGAACTCCACTTTGGTTTGGAACAAGAAACCCAGCCAGGAGTTAATGGAGCCCTCATCCAAGGAGCAGAGCAAATTCAGTGAAGCCTCCCTCGTGGAACTTAACAAAGCCAGAGAGTTATCCATTAAGGAACAGATAATGACCAAAGAGAACATCCCCTCTGAAGAGACCCAAACCATAGTCACCAGTGATCCCAAGTGTGCAGAGGACCCAGACTTGATAAAGCAGAAAGTAGCCCTGGACTTCTGTGGGGAATCCTGGAGCTCTGTCTGCAGATTCTTCATCACCATGATCCAGGACGATTCCTGCTAATGAGATCAAAAGAGAACAGAGTCTTTTAGGAGGTGTTACGTAAAGCTCTCCAGCATGTGGTAAAGATCTCCGAGTAAGATGAACATTTGTGCTGTGAGAGAGCAGTAGAATATTTAAACAGATTTTATAATTTTTGTTTTCGTGTTTTGGAATTTGCTTTATATTCATTTCTTTAAATTTTATTTTCCGAGGTTGTTTACCTCAGCATATGTTTCCATGGCCCACAAAGCTATATGTATATAAGCAGTGAGGATCATTTCCTGAGCTGAACGAGCCAGAGTGATGATTTCAGTGCAATGCACTTTCTGGTGAATTAACAAAGTTAATAAAGCTCTGAGTGTTTTTCAGAAATATGTTGAACCATTTTTTTGTTTCTTTATGTCTACTTTCAATGAACTTATAAATAATCTCCATATGCCAGTGGAAAAAAATATCTAAGGAATGACTTTTTCTTCCCCACTCATCCTAAGTCATCCCCAAAGATGACCCATTCCAGAATCCCTATCTTTGTCCTTTCATCCATTAGTCCATGGTGTTTGATGGTTTTTCGCTGTAATAATTAGGATAACTGATTTCAAGTGTGACAAATAAGGCATGGTATAATTAAAAACACAAATCAGAGTCTTGCAGATGGTAAGAGGGGAGGCAAGATTTGAATCCAGAAGGTTTGTAAAGCCAAATCCACAGCCAGAGGAATGTCCTCCACTTACTCAGGTCAGGGCTGGACATTTCTTCTTGCTATATTTAGGACCCCTGGTTTTGAGAAGCTCATTTCTGGCCTGGGAGAAAGAGACTTGGTTAAGTACAGTGTCCTGTGGTGAAAATTTAAATGGAAACAGGAAAAGGCAGTGTGGAAAACCAGAGAGAGGAGGTGGAAGTTGCTGGAAGAACTCTGGTTGAACTTCATGGAGAAGGTATTATGGAGCTGGAATTTGGAAAGAGTATCTGTAGGTAGGAAATAGGGCAGAATGGAAGCACTTTCCACAGATGACAGTATGTGTGAAAGCAAAGAGATATAAAAATTCTAGATGTTGGGAGAAGATATGTGGCTGGAATACGGTGGGATGCAGGATGACACTATTGTTAGTCATTCACATGTTAGTAAGAAGGATCTGAAAGTGTTTTTATTCAAGAGCTGGGGAGAAAGGAAGATGTAGCTCCAGTGTCTCACCACAATTTCACTAGGAGCAAAAAGGAGCAAAAGATGGCAAAAAAGACTGCACTTTAGAATCTCTGAAAATTACAAGGAGGAATGGCATTGTGGAGTGAAAGAGTGGATATTTACACTCACCAAATTGAAGTGAGGATTGTCGCTACTACACTGAAGATTGTCAGTAGCCTATCCAGTGTGACAGCCTCAGAGATACATTCAAATGTCATTATTCAAATTATCAACACTAACATTTCTCTTCCACCTGCTATGTGCCAGACATTGTGCTCTTTCCATGGAGTCTGCATGCATGCATTCATTCATTCATTCCTTCAACCTGTAACTTATTACATGCTGACTCTGCCAGAATCTGTTCTAGGTACTGGAGATACATCAGTCCACAGCAGGTGGATATTCTGCATCATTCCCCATGCATCTACCAGTAGGGAAAGTGATGAAAAAAATCACAAAGATACAAGAGATAGAGAGGGAAAGTAAAGGAGGAGAAGAGGGTAACAGTGATGAAGGATACTCAGTCTTAGACGAGATGGTTGGGGAAGGCTTTTCTGTAGAGGTCACTTTTGAGACTAGATGTGTATGAAGTGAGGAATCTAGCCCAGTAACTCTCTGGGGTAAGGATGTTCCAAGCAGAGGAAATAGTCAGTGTAAATGCCCTGAAATAAATTAGCTTATTTATTGCCTATTGTGAGTTTCTACTATATGCCGTATGCCATTCTAGTGCTAGAAAATAGCAGCAAACAAAAAGAAAAAAAATCCTTCTTTTCATGGTGTTTATATTCCAATAACTGGCTCATGCTTGGCATATTCAGAAATATCAAAGGTTGCAGAACCATTGTAGGACAGAACCCAGGACCTGGTTTATGAACCTTACCCCCATTTACAAGAGAACTGAACCAACATCCAAGTCTGTCCCAAGCTTCTCCTAGCCAGTCCATAAGAGGGACATTTTCCCTTAAAGTCTACACAGATGGTGAGCTTTCTGGATCATTTCCTCTACTCATACATCTCAGTTCCATGAAGTCCTGTTAAACACTTCCAGAGGTCATTAAAAAATAACCCTGCTCCAGCCTGAGTGACATAAACATTGGAGAACTGACCATACTAGATTCAAAGACTTTTCCAAGGTAGTTTGCAGCCCAGGAGGTGGTGGTTTTCTGGTTCACTCATGGCCTTTGGCCACAGGCAGAACTTGAACTCATCTCAACAATGGGGACAATAAAATCCACCTTTAAAGGTTGTTGTAAGACTCACATTGGTCAATAAATCTCAAGCACCTGGTGACTCACTGTGTGCACAGGAGCTGTTCAACACAAGTGAATGTCTAAAGTTCACAGCACAGGACCAGTTGTGGAGTGAGTTCAAAATGTCTTTGCCCTTTAAAAGTTAGAGTTTTTTTTTCTTTGTACACAAGGGGAATGAGGAGCCACTATATTGATAACCTAATATGTGTGAGTGGCTTTGCCTCTTCTCTTATATAATCCCCCAAAAACCCTGTCTGGTAGGTGTTATCATCCTCATTTTCTAGATGAGGAACTTGAGGCCCAGAAAAGATGAGCAACTGCCAGGGTCATGAAGCATGAAGTGGCAGAGCCTGTAAGTGAGAAACCCAGGTCCAGAGGTCCCCCTTTCTGTGTCTGAAGCTCATGATTTTCTTCACTTGATGGGAGAAGAATGAAATTTGTGGTTTTAGACGTGGACCAAGCTGTGAAGTGAACAGGATGCCTCAGTCACTTCCATATCCATGTCCCCTTCCATGTCCTACAAAAAGTAAGTTCCAGAAGCTAACACTTTTGTTCATGCTCAACCTTCCTGCATGGTCATATCCCAAGACAATGTTTTAAAAACACAGTAAGGGGCACCTGGATGGCCCAGTCAGTTAAGCGTCTGACTTTGGCTCAGGCTATGATCTCGCTGCTTGTGAGTTCAAGCCCCGCATTGGGCTCTGTGCTGACAGCTCAGAGCCTGGAGCCTGCTTTGGATTCTGTGTCTCTCTTTCTCTCTGCCCCTCCCAGGCTCATGCTCTGTCTGTTTCTGTCAATAATAATTAAACGTTAAAAAAAATTTTAAACACAGTAAAAAACAAGTTTAAAACATAACAAAGATTTTACATTAGCTTCCATCCAATGTGGCACTCAATATTTTCTCTCTGGAGACTTTCTGAATATGAAGTGGAGAGGCCAGTTTGTGCGTGTGTGTGTGTGTGTGTGCACACGCAACAGACAGGAAACTTTCAGCTAAGTAAGAGATGTTTCAAGATGGCATGTCTGCATCTCCTAAGCAGCTCAGCAATGAGATTGTCTTGTATTCCTTAAAAAAAACCACCTCCCAACATAAAGAGAGCCTCTTCCCTGCCCCCAGCACTGCCTCTGTGTAGTAATTCACAACCATACCAATACTGACTTGAATTTCTGGAGTCCAGCCCATCTCACCTGGCCTCCTACCTATCCACCTCTTTCCCCAGGCTCCTTCTGGAATTGGTTTTGGCAGAACAAGGAAAGTAGGCAAAAGTGTTTGGAACTGACAAACGCAAGGATAGCCATCCTCTGTGGTGTTGGTTCTCATAATGCTACACACACAAGACTCCCCTTGAAATGTCTCTCATGGAATGAGACTTCATGAACAATGTGCAAGAAAGGACCCATCAAGAGCTCTGCTGAATGAGGGATCAGGACAAAAAGTGAAATAGAAGATTCCAGAAAAAGGGTGTTTCAGAATCTCATGAGTTTTAAGTGGGTTATCCAAGGAGAGTTTTCATCAAGGCAGTTGGATATGTGGGAAATAACACAGCAAAGGTGGTCTCTACCACAGCCACAACACTTAGGTCACAGGCCAGCAATATAATTGATCTTCAGTAATTACTGGTTGAGTGAATAAAAGAGAAGGAGAGAAATCAGCAAGGGCAAAGATTATGGGCTTCAGATTAAAAGAAACGGTTTGACTTTCTAGTTGTGTGACCTGAGACAAGTTATTTTTTTTCTTAGTCCCAGGTTCCCTATTTATAAAATGGGTCTAAGTATCCATCCAATAGGAATTAGACATGATTTAACTAAAGTCTAAAGTGTGATCCTTATACATTAGATTTTCGCTAAGATTTGGTTATAAGTGAGTGAATGAATGAATAAATGAGTGAGTGAGTGAATAAATGATCCAAGTAGTTGAGAAAGAAGATAAGAAGGACATGTTCTAGAGAGGCTACATGAGACTTAAGAGACACAATGTTTGGGTAAATTCCTAGCAGTGCTATTTCTGGGTCATAAGGGAGTTCTATTGTTAACTTTTTGAGGAACCTCCACACTGTTTTCCAGAGGGGCTGCACCAGTTTACATTCCCACCAACAGTGTAGGAGGGTGCCCGTTTCTCCACATCCTCGCCAGCATCTAGAGTTCTCTGATTTGTTCATTTTACCCACTCTGACTGGCGTGAGGTGGTATCTCAGTGTGGTTTTGATTTGTATTTCCCTGATGAGGAGGGATGCTGAGCATAGTTTCATGTGTCTTTGGTCATCTGGATGTCCTCTTTGGAGAAGTGTCTGTTCATATCTTCTGCCCATTTCTTCACTGGGTTGTTTGTTTTTTGGGCGTGGAGTTTGGTGAGGGATATAGGAATGCTGATACATAGGAGCACATGTACCCCAATGTTCATAGCAGCTCTCTCAACAATAGCTAAAACATGGAAAGAGCCTAAGTGTCCATCAACGGACGAATGGATCAAGAAGATGTGGTTTATCTATACCATGGAATACTACATGGCAATGACAAACAATGAAATCTGGCCATGTGTAGCAACATGGATGGACCTTGAGGGTGTTATGCTGAGTGAAATAACTCAG